TCCCTACACTAAGATCATGAAGGTATTCCCATGTATTATCTTCTAGAAGCTTTGTTGTTTTGCCTTTCACAATTATATAGTTAAATATACAGTAAATTTGAAATGTGTTTTTGTATATTCCATAAGGTAGAGGTAAATTTTAATTTTTTCCCCATGTGGCCTACCAGTTGACCATTTGTTAAGAATATCATCTTTCCCCACCTTTCTGCAGCACCACCTTTGTCATCAATCAGGTTTCCATATATGCGTGAGTCTGTTTCTGAGCTGTCTGTGCTGTTCCTTTGGTGTGTTCATCTGTTCTTACACTGGTACCACACTTTTTTTTGCGGTACGCGGGCCTCTCACTGTTGTGGCCTCTCCCGTTGTGGAGCAACAGGCTCCGGACACGCAGGCTCAGCAGCCATGGCTCACGGGCCTAGCCACTCCGCGGCATGTGGGATCTTCCCGGACCGGGGCACGAACCCGTGTCCCCGGCATCGGCAGGCGGACTCAACCACTGCGCCACCAGGGAAGCCCCCCACACTCTTAATTACTGTAACTTTGTAATAAGTTTTCATAAAAATAAATCTTGTCACCCTTTTCTTCTTTGCTAAGAGCATCTTGGCTTTTCTGTGCATTTCTTCATCCCTTTGAATTCATTTTAGGGCAACTCACTGACCCAGAATCTAGCTTTAACTTAGTACAGTGTAGAGTAGCTTGTAGTGTTTTAAATTGCCAACCACATAACACTAGTGCCCCAGCTCAGAGGAAGGTGCGGCTATATCTTAGAAGAATTACCAGTGTCTGTGAACCAAGTAGGCTCTGGGAGACCGTGGACTGGACGGAATGAGATAAATCTGGTGTGAGAAGCTACTGAAGGCCAAGAAACTGACACCTAGTTCCACCCTCTTGGACCTTACTTAGCATCATTCTTGGGAAATGGAGAAAAAGACCTGTGAGCTCAAGAATGTCAGTCTTGTTCACTGTTGTATTCTGTGCCTGGTATACACAGTGGGCATTCAATAAATATTTGTTCAGTGAGTGCATATGTGTATATGCTTCTCAGAGGACATTATATAGTCATGAGTTTGACTCTTTGCTTAGACACTAGAAAGCTTAAAACTAAAATTTTAATAGCCTTTGAGATTTTGCCATTTCATGGTTTTGGCTTTCTATTTCTGCTTTAAGTCTTATATGCATTACCTCAAATCTTTTTGGAAATACATACTCATTTTCCACGTTGAGTCTGGTGATTACCTGTTAGTGATTCTAGAAGTTTGTTGACTTTCTACGTCCCTAAATGGAAATTACTTACAAGTTTCTTAGCATAATTAAGCTCACATATATTATAATTCAGTTTGAGATTATATCCAGATTCTCATATTTCAAAATAGTCGTATTTTATGATGATGAAACTACCAAGTTACCCTCAGTTTCTCCAATTTGTATTTCCTTTCCTTCCTGAAAATACAGATGTAGTTGATGAGACTTACATAAAGCACATCTTTATTAGTTTTCTGCTCTAAATATCAAAATTCTATGTTTTTTAATGCAGATGTGGAATTAGAAGAAGCGATTAGAAGAAGTCTTGAGGAAATGTAATTAAAGATATTACCACACAGCATCAAGTGGCCTTGAAGAGACTCAGGATAATGAATTCTTGAGTTTGTTTTCTAAAGGAGATCAGAAATCTACTAGTACAAATGTACTTGAAAACTTTGTTTTGCTTTCATATGTTCAAAATCTGATATTGCTTTGTATTTTTGTGCTATTTTGCAAAAATGTATAGCGGAATAGAATACATGGTAATGCAAATACAAATCATGTATTCTAATATAGGTATCATGTTTCCCAGTTAACTTTGAATTCATATATTTAGGTTATAAGAATTAAAAATTAGAAAAGCCCTTGACTATTGTTTATATGTTTCCCAAATAGAATTGTTTCTTTAATTTTATTTGTACAGTACAGATGATTCTAGTTTATTTTTTTAGGAGTGAAATGAATATAAATAAAGCTGTCATAGCTCACTTTTTCTGTAAATTCTGCTTCTCATGTGGCACTAATATATAGTACCTTTGAGATCTTTGATCATTGGGAGAGAGTAATGGAAACTGATCATGGAAAGAGATGAAAAATTTTATCAGCAATGTTCTTTGTGGGTTTCACTCATATGTATATCCCTGCTTTAATTAGAGCTGCATATTGCTGGAATAAAAAAAAAATTTCTTTGAAAATAGTGAAAAGAAACTTTTGCCATTCCTTTTACCTGCTTAGACTTTTTTTTTTTTTGCGGTACGCAGGCCCCTCACTGTTGTGGCCTCTCCTGTTGCGGAGCACAGGCTCCGGATGCACAGGCTCAGCGGCCATGGCTCACGGGCCCAGCCGCTCTGCGGCATGTGGGATCTTCCCGAACCGGGGCACAAACCCGTGTCCCCTACATCGGCAAGCGGACTCTCAACCACTGCGCCACCAGGGAAGCCCCTGCTTAGACTTTTATGTGACTTGTATTATCTACTGTTTAAAGGGAATGATGTAAAAAATATTTGCATAGAATTAGGCATATTTTTAATAATATTCTTTTATATATATTTGTGTAAACATAGTATTCTTCAGAAAATAACGTTGGAAGTCTACTCAGGAGTAATCTTCCTTAACCCTTTAAAATTTTTATTTCATATGGAGGTATCTTCATTTTAGTTATTCATTAAAATGTTAGTTTCCTATAGTTGGTATTAAATATTTAATTTTTAAATGTTGAGGCCACATTGTGAATAATAAAAAACGTTACCTAATTAGGAGACTAAGAAGGGGCTTGTCGTACAGTCTTTGTGTATATGCTTCAAGTTATTTGACCCAGAAATGTCATCCCTAAAAATTTCGAGTAGTAATTACTTACCAAACTTAAAATTTTCTGTAAATATAAATTTTTCTTTAAGACAGAAAAAAAATATATCATGGCTAGAACTTTGATCTTTCTCTGCAACTAGATAGTTTAGTGTGAAATAGTATTACTGTTTTTTTTTATTATTATTATATAGTCTTTTCAATCCACATTGGAAACCAATTTGTGTTTTTATTTCTTAAGCTGTCAGTTCTGTCCTACCTGTTTGCATTTTTTTTTTTTAAGTACACATCATAGCTTGAGAATGTACTAGTCATTTTTCCAAAGTGACCACACTGTATTTTTAATTTGTTTGTTAGAGTAGTTAAGGCTTTGGGTAGTAGTCATGGAGCCGGGCCTTAAAGACATCTGCAGGAGCTTGCTCAGTAGTGAGGAGCAGAAAGAGTG